TTGCACCTTCCAAGCTGGAGATCAGGGTGGGAGGGAAGGATTGGAGGGAGAGGGAGGAGGGAAAGGGGGCATGTGTGTGTTGTGTGTGTGTGCGCACGCTTCTCCTCGCTGCTTTCTGAGCTGGGAAGGATTGGAGGGAGAAGGAAGAGGGAAAGGAGGCCACGCGCACGCACACACACGCTTTGCATTTTCCGAGCTGGAAATCGGGGTGGGAAGGAAGGATTGGAGGGAGAAAGGAGGCGTGTGTGTGTGTGTGTGTGTGTGTGTGCGCGCACACACACACACACTTCTCCTCGCTGCTTTGCACTTTCTGAGCTGGAAATCAGGGTGGGGGGGAAGGATTGGAGGGAGAGGGAAGAGGGAAAGGAGGCGTGTGTGTGTGTGTGTTGTGTGTGTGTGTGCATGCTTCTCCTCGCTGCTTTCTGAGCTGGGAAGGATTGGAGGGAGAGGGAAGAGGGAAGAGGGAAAGGAGGTGTGTGTGTGTGTGTTGTGTGTGTGTGCGCACACTTCTCCTCGCTGCTTTCTGAGCTGGGAAGGATTGGAGGGAGAGGGAAGAGGGAAAGGAGGCATGTGTGTGTGTGCGCGCACGTGGGATGGAAGACCAAGAAGAGGAGATCCAGTCTCCGGAGATCCCGGTGCGCAGCCCGGGGGAGTCGCATGCATGCCACGCGCACGCACACACACGCTCAGCACTGGCATAAAAGAGCGCCTGCAGAGGAGAAAATACTGTACTCATTTGGGCTTACAGGTGGCCAATGAGAACTCAGAAAACTTCGCTCCCTTTCCTCCCTCCCTCTCCCCTTCTTCAGCGAAAGGGTGTATTAGCATGTCCATTTTTTCCCTAGGGCATATAAGAGGACAGGGAGGGCTGGGCAGGCAGGGAGAGCTGACCCACCCAATCCAACCAGGCTTTGTATACAACAACAAGCCAATCACCGGTAAGGTACATCGCTTGCCAGTGATAAGGTATATCGCTTGCCATGATTGGCTGGTTGTTGTATACTGGGTACGTACCGGTACAGTACAGCACCAGTATCTGTACCAGTTCATACAGTAGAGCACCAGTACATACAGTACTGTATACAAATGTCCAACAGTCAAGATGCCATCATGGCTCCACCAGCAAGAAGAAGGAAATATGAAGCCAGTTTCAAACTTAAAGTTGTAAACTTTGCCATGGAACATAATAACTGCGCTGCTGCAAGACAATATGGAGTAACAGAAAAGATGGTTCGGGACTGGAAAGCAAATGAAAAAGCGTTAAAGAGTATGGCAAGGGGTAAGTGTGCATTAAGAAGAGGCACCCCACATTGGCCAGAACTTGAAAAACATGTAGCAGACATGGTGAATGAGCATCGCCAAAATGGTTATGTAGTGACACGAAATAAAATATGTTTGTCTGCACTTCAGTGGGCCAAATCTAACCCAGATCACAGCAACAGATTTAAGGCCACTGTATCTTGGTGTACTAGATTCTTGAAAAGGCATAATATGGTACTGAGGCAAAAGACAAAAATGGCACACAAATTACCTGCAGATCTTGATAGCAAAGTAATTAGTTTCCATCGATACGTAATACAACAGCGCATTAAACATGGCTATGCGTTAAGTAGTATTGGAAATATGGATGAAACTCCAATGAATTTTGATATGGTTGGAAATAAAACTGTCCATCAAAAAGGTGAAAAAACAATTTTAATTAAAACAACAGGACATGAGAAGTCCAGTTTTACAGTGGTACTAGGATGCACAGCTGATGGTGCCAAACTGAGACCAATAATTATTTTTAAAAGAAAAACAATGCCGAAACTCAAGTTCCCTGTTGGTTGTTTTGTACATGTGAATGAAAAAGGCTGGATGGATGAAGAAGGGGTAAAGCTATGGCTTGATAATGTATGGAGCAGGCGACCAGGCGGACTTCTTCAAAAACGTAGTCTACTGGTGTGGGATATGTTCAGGGCTCATTTAACTCCCAGCACCAAGCAAAGGCTTGCAAGAATAAACACAGATGCGGCAGTTATTCCTGCAGGATTGACATCGTTGGTACAGCCACTGGATGTGTGCCTAAACAAGCCATTTAAAGATCGCATTCGAGAACAGTGGAATGAATGGATGGTTAGCGGCGAAAAGTCATTCACAAAAGGAGGAAACATGCGTGCTCCACAGTTGGATGTTTTGTGCAAGTTTGTCATAAAAGCCTGGAATGATATTGATGCAGAAACAGTAATCAAGTCTTTCAAGAAGTGTGGCATATCAAATTCATTAGATGGTATGGAGGATGACTACTTGTGGCAAGATGAAGAGGAAGCTGAAGCTGAGACCACACCATCTGATACAGAATTCGATCCATATGATGACTGCCTTACAAATGTACCACAAGATGTCATTGATATTTTTATGATATCAGATGATGAACAGGATGATTTTGAAGGCTTTTAAAGGGAAACTGTCACGCAAGCAAAACCTGTAAAAATAGCTTGCAGTTATGATGGGCGTTGCTGACTCGCCAGGGACTTGCCCGGCACTTGCTCTTTCTATTGTTTTTTATCTTCCTCCTATCATCATCAGTTCAGTTTGGTTGACAGCTTAGAAAACAAACAGCATGGCAGCTCCCATGGTTTTATTGTCTTATCCTTCCTTTCAGCTTTAGAGTGAATTAGGAAAAGTTTAATCCACTTGCACTGTTTTATGTTTATATGTTTGATGACAGCCTTATGTTTATAAATGACAGTTTTTCTGCTAAGTACCTGCATGTCATAAGCATTTGAATTAAAATTACCATATTGAAATCAAATCTGATGTTTTTTAATTTTTATTTGGTGTGCGTTGGAAGAGGGGTAGTCTTATACGGTGAGTATAGCCCAAACTCTATATTTTAACTGGAAAAGTTGGGGGTCGTCTTATACTCCCAGTCGTCTTATTCGCCGGATAATACGGTATTTTTAATAATTATACTGTATGTATGTATATATGTATGAATGTATGCATTTGCTATGTGCTTTAATTAGACCACTGTATTTCCTAAGAACCTGTGGCAGTATGCAGTTAGAATACACTCCAATGATTCAATTACAAATGGTCCCCAACTTACAACTATTCATTTAGTGACCGTTCAAAGTTAAATGGTCCTGAAAAAAGTGACCTATGACCAGTTTTCACACTTATGACCATTGCAGCACATGGCAGCTTGGCAACAGGTTCTTGCACGGTCCTGGAGTGAAGTGATCACAATTTGTAACCTTCCCAGCTGGTTTCTGACATGGAAAGTCTATAGGGAAGCCATATTTGCTTAATAACTTCATGATTCCTCTAACAACTGCAGTACTTTGCTTAACAACTGTGACAAAAAAGGTCTTAAACAGAGTGAAACTGACTTAACAATCGTCTGTCTTAGCAGTGAAAACTTTGGGCTCAGTTGTGGTCCTAACAACTACCTATAATGAACAAATAAATTAACCAATAAATTATTCATCTGCAATAAAAATAGGCAAGAAATGAACAGATATCAATTTCCAAATCTCTCTCTGAAATATTCATTTCCCAGTCTAGAGCGGAAACTCTGCAGTACAACTGCTTATTGGGTTTACATAAATTTTGACAGTAATTCCACTGACCTTGTAAGGCTAATCAATCCTTTTTTTTTTTTAAAAAAATGTGATTTTCTCTTCTAGGTTAGTGACCTTGGGAGTGTCCCAAGTCAGAGTTGGAAAATCCCCAAATAAGGTGATAGTTAAGGCCATCAATTTAAATAAAATGGCTATTATATAACTAATAGAATCATAAGGTTGGAAGTAAGCTTTGACATTTTCTAATCAACTTCCAATCCAGGACAAAATTTCCTCAAATCATCCCCGACAACAGTTGTCTACTGTTGTATGAAAACCTCAAGTGAGGGAGCATCCACCACACCAGAAGGCAGGCTTGTCCACTGGAAAGAAAATGATTGGTGACTGCTTTTTAAACTGAAAAATTTGGAAGGCAATCTAAATTGAGCCCAGAATTATGGTAATAAATTCTTGTGGTTGTAAGTTGAGGCATCACATGAATGGATTTGAGGTTATAGCTAATTTTTACATTGGTTATTAAGTGAATGGCACAGTGGTTAAGTGTATCTATTTTTCCCAATGGACCTTTTTTGCCAGAAACTGGAAGTAAATGCTGGAAAACAGCAAAAAAAATGTTTCAAATCATAAGTCATGTGGCTGCAGGATGCTACAAACAGCCATAAAAGTGAGGATTGCCAGGCACCCAAAATGCTATAGTATAATTGTGATTGTGTGCAGCCATTGTAACTCCAAAAATGGGTTGCAAGTAGGAGGAGTGTCGCAACTTCAAACGGTCATAAAAATGAACTGTCATGAGTCGGAGGCTGTCTGTAAAAGAACATGGATGGTTTTAGTCAGAGTTGCCAACCTTTCTGGCTTTGTGGCTGGGGGGGGGGAGGAGAGAAGGGATGGTCCCATGCGAGCAGCATGCAAGTGTGCACATACACAGCGACTGTTCGTGCAAGTGGGGATGCATGTTGCACATTCTCAGCTGCCACTTCCACAGCCCGCTTCCGAACAGCTCAAGGCCCAGTAATGGGCTGAGATCTGGGGGTTGGGGACCCCTACTTTTAGTGACTAGGAATTGCACTTAATAAAGGTAGTACTTGACATACCACAATTGTGCCCACCATGGGTCCCTTTAAAAGTGGTAATCTATCAATTTTCTTTCAATTTGGGTTTTAAAAACAAATTGCTTTGGAATACTGAATCAATTATTTATTATCTGTTTTCTACCTTACATGATAAGGGAAAGGGAATCCCAAAGAAGTTAGCTTTCTTCCCATAATTAATCTTCCCATTTGTTGTCTATACATACAACAGCATCTCTCTGTAATATCCTATTTCATCCTATGTTGAATCAGTAATTTTATTTTAGTCCTTAACTTTTATCTCTCCATTACTGCATCACAAATTAAAAGGAATAGAAAAACACATGAGCAGTTGCTGCAACAATAGCTATTTATTAGCATAACACTTTTCTTAAAGATCTCGTAACAACTGAAATATATACAAAGTCTTACAGCATTTACACATTAAAAAGTTTCCTATTAGCTGACGAAGTATATAGTGCTGCAAAGTACTTCAAAGCATGAATAATAAGAATAGTAATAATAATAATGAAATAGACCACTGCACTTTTAACTTCTCTGCTATGCACCACAACTGCCACATTGATGTGACAGTTAAACCATTGGGAAGACACAAGTTTGTAAAAAAAAAAAAAAAAGATTGACGTGCAGCACTGAACACTGGAGGGACAGGAATAAGGGACAACCAAAAATAAAGCTACATACTGTCATGTTTCTACAGTTCCTAGAGCTGTAACAAACTTCCACAGCCTTAAGATATAACATAGTTAAGACAACATAATGACACTTTCTCAGATATAGTTCAGCTAAATTGTGTGTTTAATTTTTGGGTAAGAAGTTCTTACACTGCTATGGCTGTGTATTTCCATTTTCTATTCATGAAATGCTCAAACAGGTCTACAAAAATGTAGTCAGCAGCAGGAGCTTGTAATCATGATGTGCTTTGTCTATTTAAAGGCATTCAAGATAAGCAAACAGGATTTAACAACTCCTGTCAAAAGTTTAAGACAAGGAACCTTCCTTTAAAGGCATCATCATCATTTTTATTATTCACTATCTAGTTACTTTCCAAAACAACAACAACAAAACCAAATTGCCCTTTATTAGGGAAACTAAGATATGACAGATCTTTTTTTCATCATAATCCACAATAGTAGTTTAAAAAGTTTGAAACACTTTCCTAGCTACTTATAGTATATGGAAAAAGACCATAGGAAGAATGTGTTTATGAAGGGGTCTCTGGTTAGAATATTAAAACAGAAAACCATGGAACATAGCTTGAAAAGAAAAAAAAATGAAATAAGATGAATTATACATTGTAGGTAACAGAAAGTTCATCTGATCCATTTTTCCACAAACTACTATGCAGTTCTAGCTAAGGTTTATGATAACCTTATTTATGAAATGTTTCCCCCTTTCCTTTCTTAAGCAAATTAAGTTGTGCTTAAAACATCAAAAGTGGCCAAATATATATATATATATATATTTAAAAAAAACGTCAAGAGACTACAATCTATTATAAAGAAACCATATTACCATTTAATGTAAACAATTTATTGAATAACAAAAGCCCTATTTAGATTCTGGTCTTAAACCTTTGGCAGATAATGTGTGTATGCTCAGCCAGGCTCTGTAGCTAGTTATTATTCAAGTAGAAGCCAGGTCAGTTCACATGTTGACAGGCATGCAACTTGAAAACATTGCACAACAAGGAACATAAAAAGAGATCTGAGAAGTGTATTAAGACTTCAAGTAGACTTCACAACCCTTCACAACTGAATATACACAAATTAGTCTTTCTTTGCCTCCCCCCTCCCCTCTCCAACATTCACTCACACATGGGACACTTTCTGTGACTCCCTAGCTTGTTTGATGCTGTATAACCACTTGATGATTCTGGCATTTCTTTCTATTGCAGAAATACCATATGGCACACGGTCATTGGCACTGTCATCATTCCTAAGGTCACTGTTGCTATCCTGAGACTGTTCACAGTCTGAACTGATCATACTTGCACTGCGAAAGTTGAGAGAGATAATGTCAGAGTTAGCCCTTGCAAAATTTTCCATTCCAAGATTTTCAAGCTCTTCAGGATCAAGTCCACAGTAGTTAAAGAACCTTTCAACGTCTGCATCGACTCTAAAGTATCTATCACTTAAGTCCGACTTCGACCGTTGAAGGGAAGGTCGTCTGCTTACTCCACAAGTGGATTCCACTGAGTCCATCTCTGGTGATTTCAACATAGTGATGGTTGCAATTTTGGGTTTTGGAGGCAGAGGTGGAGCTGAACTACTGCAGGGTATTGCTTTTAAAGGTTTACCACTGGATACTTTCCTAATGTCTGAGGAACTATGTGAAACATGCAAGAAAGATTCTGCCGATTGTTCCAGTAGCCTTCTACTCACACTGGAGCTGCTTTCTTGAGGACTGTTAGAACTTTGGGTGGGATAAACCTTTAGGGATTCTGCAAATGAGTGACGATTTAAGTCTCCTGTGTCAGATTTGTGGGGAGGCCAATTTCGCGAACTGTGTTTGTGACCTGAACCTGAACTGGAGCCCTCTGAACTGTTTATAATATTCTTCAAAATTTCCAACTTCAGGTTCTCTCTCTGGACACCACTCTCAGTCTTTGCATTGTTGCTAAATACTTTCAAGGTAGGGCTGCCCAAGGCTCGCTTAGCTGCAGGGCACACTGGCGGCTTTGGAAGCACTGCTGGCTTCACAGGTTCTTGTTTGGCGTTGATGACTTCTTGGCTTTTCACATATTTTGCCTTGTCAGCTTCCAGCCTCTCCACGGCGCTAAGTCTTTTTGGATTAGGCTCCGTTTGCCTGCGAAAATAATCAGGTCCTTTGTTTAAAATGCGGAGAGGAACAGCTGAAGTGAAAGTGATGGCAGGATTGACAGGTTTGACCATGCTACCTGTCTGTAGTGTTTCTGTAGGCATGTTTGGTGGCTTTTCCCCCGCAGCCGTTTTGAATTCCTTTCTGGGATCTTCTAAATGCACGGTGCAGAAACATGTATATTAAGCACGATGAATAGCAGATGAACCTTGGAATCTGAAGCTTAGCAGGAGAAGCAGCAGTGCTTCATTTCACAGCTTGTTAAATATCAGGGACGTTTCCTTCTTTTCTGCTCTCCACCCCCCCTCCCCAGGCAGCTTTTGTACAAACACACCACCAGAAACAAGCCAGTTTTAATCTTGCTCTGTTGGTTTCTTTCTTCTCACTGAAGGATGCGGAAGTCTCTGCAGTTTCTTTGTGTTCCACTACAAGCAGTGATCTGAAACATAAAATAGCCAACCACATGTTAGCAATGGTGTGTGATATCACCACTGTAGCAACAGACCCTTCTCTTTCCCCACCCCTTCATTTGCTGGCTGAGCTAAAGCAGTGGGTCATTCTAGCTGATGCGTTTCATCACATCATCACTGAAAAGTATGCCTTTTACTAAGACTGTAAGCAAAGTAAGGACTGCTGATCTTCTATTCAGGTATAAGCATGCATTTAATTGTGATACCAGTTTTTTCACAATTTAAGTCAAGAGTTAATTTAAATGATTTAAAATATTACAGTTACATAGTTCCAAGCTTATACTGTATACATGATTTACAATATATGGCTTCTGGCTTTCCTAAAGCGGTGTTATCGTTTGAGTAAGCAGGCAGAGTGAAACAAGCTTTAGCTAAAAATAAAATGTCTATTGTCTATTAGTATTCGGTGACTGCTATGAGAAGACATAATTCCAGTCTAGGCAGAAAATTTGTTTAAGCCAGTGTGATATAATTGTAATTAAACAACTGTAATATATATACATTGCAAGTTCTATTAGGTGCCATTTACTATGTAACTGCATTGGTATTAAAGTGGTAGTAAGGCTAATTTATCATTTAAAATTGCAATAACAATTCAAGTTAATTTTAACGATGCTTATAGAAATATATTAAACTCTCAGGAAGAATGTTAACTTTTCCCTTCAAACAAATGGTTTGATTCCCTTTATATTGTCATCTTGATCTTCAGCTTTAAAATCTTCCATTTCAACTCTCAGTAAAATAATACAGAACAACAGTGTTGTCATAAATCATGATTAGCCATGACTGATTATCCTATTACAAATTAAAATCCTTTCATGTTTCATTATTATAAATGACATGTAATAAAGCCAAAGAAGTAACCTTTTCATGGTTAAATTAACTTCTTGCTGCCATAATGCTTCTGATTTGTTTGAATAAATAAACAAAAATACCAATAGAACATTTCTTTATTCTCAACCAGTGATAAACTATACAAATATTGCTGACTGGTTTCTATAAAGATTGCTATCTGATTATCTGCAAAGCAGAATTTCAGTTGGATTTTATAACTTGTTTTGAAATAGATATAAACAAAATGTAAAAAAACAGTTTCCCTGCACAGAACCTGTATTTATGAAGGATCCCCAAAAAGCAAAGGGAAGAGCCGAAATAATGCATCCTATGTGCATCCTCAGCACACATGGACACCTGGTTTATATTAGCTGTTTTCAGATCAGATAGCATAGCAAAGCATTCTTGCACATTACAATGTTTTGTTTTTGTAATGCAACTTCATGTACAAATCAGTATACAGAACTTGTTTAAAAAAACAGAAAACAAGACTAAACAAATTGCTCCTACAACAGAAGAGTGCAATGAGTAAGATCTCCCAGGCATCTGCACTATCATTTTTTTAATAGCAGACTATAGTTGATTGAGAAGAAAAATGTGACAGTAGGATGGCCAAGGTTATTAGTACAGCTTACTTGTATAATATTAATACTGTCAGAACAACTCATCTAAAAAGGAAAAATACAAGGAGTAAAACTAAAAATTCTGTTTAATGGAATAAAAGCAGTGTTTCTCTACCTTGGCAACTTTAAGCTATGTAGACCTCAACTCCCAGAATTTTCCAACCAGCATATTTATTGGGGATTTCTGGGAACAGAAGTCCACCCAATTTAAAATTGTCAAGGTTGAAAAAAATGCTAGAATAGAAAGAAATGCTATTTGGGACACAGAATTTTAATTTCACTGTGGCCCTATCATTACTGACTAGTGATCTGGGGGTTGGACATATTTTGATAAAATATCTAGATGCTGCAAAAAAAAAAAAAAAGGCAAAGTCCATGTTGGAAAGTTGCTGAAAATAAAATCACTAGTATAACTTTTGTACAAACGAACAAAGCAACAATCCTCAGACTAGAACTGCAACACCCCTGGATAAGAATTAAGTTCTGAATATTACCTTCCAAAAAGAACAGAGAACAGCTGGAACACATGCAGGAAAGGACAACCAAACTTATTTGAAGGCTTAAAAAACTTTCATCCACAAAAAGTTATAATCTTCAAGCCTTTTTAGCTTTTAAAAAGACTAAATAAATAAGAAACCATGATGTTTATAATATTTCTAGTTATAAATCAAGTAATGGTTCAGCATGGACAAAATTATCAATTAAAGTACGGAATTTATCATTTGAGTATCCAGTAATGGTTGCTTAAGTTTTAACAAGTGATTAAACAAAGTCAAGGGGAAAAAGAATATCAATATCCACATATCATGATAAATATGCAGCACTCTACTCACAAGAACAGCATATTTCTCAGTATCAAATATTCAGCGATAAGCAGGACAATACTATTATTCCTTGACTTGCACAGAGAATCTCTGTAATCACATATGTTCCTACATATACAATTCAGAAGATTTAAGAATAAACTGTCACTCAGAAGTTCAATCCACAGCTTTTGAATGCAGAAGGTACCAGTAATTTGTCAATTGTAGGAAGAGACAAATCCTATCTATGTAATCAATTTCTATATATAATTCAAAACTTGCCAAGGGGTAATTGTGAAGTGTTCCAACTCATGTGAAATTGCTTCTTTACCTAAAAAAGCCACAAGTCATACCATACTTGGAGAGGAACTGCTCAAAACTCCTTGAATTCTCTATCAGAACATATATGATGAACCAAGCATAATAAGTAACCTGAGACATCTCTGCCTGAAATATTGCAAAGTTACTACACCAGTGTCTGTCTACAACAGGAGTGTCAAACTTGCAATGTCACATCCCATGTCATGATATAGTGTGACTTTTTTTCCATTGCCGGCAATGGGCTGGGTGCGGTTTTGGTATGACGCGGGCCGGCAGTTTGAAACATCTCCCTATTCAGGGCTTGGAAAAGAGTTGATAGGAAGATAAAATTGCCAAATCCAGCCTAAACATCTGGCTGATGTTCAAGCAATAATAATAAAAAACTTGTATTTGGACAATGGGAAATGATGTGTGCCAAGTTACAGTATTTGCTTTTTTATTAAGTCTTCTAAATGGGTATAAAATAATAGCGTATTTATCATTACTTGCTATAAAATAACAATGCTTCTTTCTGTTCTAACATTACTTGCTATAAAATTAAAGCACCAGCTATTCACATATATAATGAATTCTAAAGATCTTTGATTAAATAATAAATATATTAAATGTGGTGAAATTTAAATGTCTTTTAAATGAATACTGAGATATTACAAAATAAAATAGCATTAAGTGATATTAGGAATTTTTTAATGGGCACTCCAGGCAAGTTAGGAAGTATAGACAGCTATACAATTGTTATAAAACAAAACATGCTGAATTTCCTATTATAAATATAATAATGCAAATTTAGTTTATTAACAGTACTTGTTTTCCAGCTCTACAAATATTTATACATAGCTCTTTTTATTATTATTTTATTCTAACTATTGATTTTCAGGTTTTTTTTGTTTTTCTTGAGACAATATATCTCAAGATATATCTCAAATAGATAAACAAACAAGCCAGTGATGTTAAATAATTATATTCATTACATTTGACTGGGAAACATGCATTCATAAAGACTACATACATTTCAAAGTTTCTTTGCATCTCAATTATCTGTCTTCAATTTGCCAAATAGATTACAATTCCCAAATTTTAGATTTCCTTAGATTATTAAAATATATGTATATGTGTATGTGTATGAAAGAGACACACAGAGATTGTATCCCAAAACATGGAAGTACCCAATTTATAACCCAAGGTGACTTTTATCAGAAATCTGGCTGCAAAATGGTGACCAGCTGATGACTGTTAATATTTGGAGAGAAATAATTCATACAATGTATTACAATCTCCAAGATGGTAGAATATGGTAGTAAAGTAATGGCAAATCAGAATTATCATTATATGTATGTACAATTCAAAATATACAGGATTATTTATGAATGAAATCTTATGTTGTGCTATTGATCTGTATGTATTAGTTCTATAGTTTTTTTTTTCCAGTATAGGCTCAATAACTAGATTAGCTTTCTCCTATACAAAAGATATGCAGTGTTAATTCAGTAAATGAGGAGTTCAATGCTCTTTTGTAAATATACAGCAACTGAATATAAATGCACCAAAAGTGAATAAAAATGTTGTGATCTCCTTTCTCAATAAATTTATCTGCTTAAATAGCCTGTTCAAACAAAACCAAAGCAATTTGAATTATTAAATAGTCTGCAGAAAGATGGAGGTGTTCTCTTTACAGCAGTGCCAATGTTGATCGAGTCCTGTTCCTACCATTATAAAAGTGCAATTTGGGATGGAGAGAGACAACATCAAAAAACAATGGTGTAAGTTATATAACCAAATGGAGAATTAAGTGTTGTTTATTGTAGGTAGAGAAGAGCAAGAGTCTGGAGCAGGAGAATCTAATCATGCAGAAGCATGTTCAAAGTTGGAACATAAATAATGATAGTATCATTTTGTGTCTATATAATTGGCTAAGAAAAGAAAGAGTGAGAGGTTTCAGAAGAGATGTCTGACCTTAGAGATAATTACGACTGTCTGGGCTGGAATGAAGACAGACCTTCAGTAAGTATATACTGTATAAGACCCTGACTTCCAAGGCAGATTGTAAAACACAACATTCCACCTGTCCATAGCTAATATCACACTTTTTTCTAGCCTGTCTCAAAGAACCTGACCCCCAAAGTTGTGGCTTGGATATACATCTTGCTTTACCTGTGTGGTCACCATAAGTCAATCAATTTATGACTTGGAATGCACTTGGTTTCATCCCTATAAACACATCTTTCCAGATATGGAACCTGGATAGTAGACTCCCACAAATGGTGCTTGTCCTGTATTTTGTTTAAAAGCAGAAAAAAGCTATATTGATCTCAATAAGATTATGGGCAGCAAATGTGTGTCAGACTTGTGATACTCTGCATAATATACTATATTCTGTATATTGAAAAA